ACATACAAGTGCCTTCGATTCGGTGGATCCATGTGCTCTGTGGGACTGTCTTCTAAGGAAAGTTGTGCCGGGGAATTATGTAACTACTATGCGAGCGCTGTATGTACGCTCGGAAGGATCGAGCGCTTAGGTCAGGCAGTCGAGGCCCTTCAATATCCCCAGCGGCGTGAAACAAGGATGCCCGCTGTCACCTTTCCTCTTCAACTTCGTTATTGACGAAGTCGTGGATATCATGTGCACAGGACACGACTTAGAAGGTGTGGAGTTGCTCCCAAGTGAACGACTTTGTGATTTGGAGTATGCTGATGATATTGCCCACGTCTGCGACAGCTCCCGAAAACGACAAGCGGCTCTGGACAGATTTGCTTTAGCTGTTAGCCGTTTCGAGGTAAACTTTGCACCCTCCAAGTGCAAAGCTTCCCTCTAAGATTGGCAGGGACCACCCTCTGAGCTGACCATTGGTGAAAATCAGCTAGAAGTAGTTCAAAAACTCAACTGCCTACGTAGTTGTATCAGCGCCGTTGGGATTGAAGACGAGGTCACAAACCTTATAGCAAAAGCATGAAAGACTTTTGCTAACCTTTGTAACCCATGGCACCGGCGCGACATTACTTTCTCCTTGAACGGTAGTATCCAATGCAGCCTTAGGTTCAACCCTACTGTACGCTTGTAAAACCTGGACAATTAGCTCAGACTAGTTACGTTCGACCACCGGTGCCTTCGCAGTTTGGCTCATATCTGATGGGAACACCGCGTGAGCAATAAGAATGTTCGAAGCCTTGTGTATGACGCAGGAACAAGAAGCGAACCGTTCAGCGTCGTTAGTTCACGCACCAGGCTCCGATGGCTGGGCCACGTGTTGCGCATGCCAGCCCACCGACTCTTGCGACGTGCATTGTTTGCATGCCCGGGTGCGGATGGAAGAAGAGGATGGGTGGCCAAGTGGAATGAAGGCCTTTACTTGGAAGTTGGCCTCGGCTGCAACCCCTCAACTCCGTGGTTGGAGCCCAAAGGACAATGAGCACGTTTGACTGAATGCACTTGTTGACATGGCTAGGAATCGACCTCAGCGGCGTGCCTTGTGAGTTTCTTTGTCCCGCCTCTGCTGCTTAGTTTCCCTCTCCAACCACGAGCTCATTCGTCAAGCATAATACAATTTTTTGAGCTGTTAGCCCCCCGAGCGGTGTCCATCGTTTACTTGTGACTTAGCCGGCATGCCTCTGATTTGTGATTTTCTTTTCTTTTGGTATTGCGTCACAATATCTGAGGTGCTTTCCATCTGCAGCTAATGTGTATAATGAAGGAACGAATGAATATCCATAGACTTCGGTTAGCTTTGAAGTAGCCCTCGGTCATTCCGACCATAAAAGTCGTATCCGAAATCCATCTGATGAGTTCGAACGAGGACGAAACCGGTTATGCAGTGTCAGTGTTGGGAGGAGCAACACCGAAACACCTCCAGTTCGGATATAGCTTTTTGTGATCCGAATGACCGAAGTCTACTTCAAACTGAACAGTATTCACGCTTCCGTGTCGCCTGTTCACACACAGAAGTGTATAGAAGATTCCGTTTTTTAGTTACTCACCTGCACAATATTCTTAATACTATCCTACGAGTCTATACGCAACCCAGTCCTATCCTTACTGTGTTAAATGCCTTACGACGAGCATTATGCCAATCTGTGAACTACAAGATTATAGGGAGAAAATTTCACAGGCCTAACTGCTATGGTCTGCAGGTCGTCTTCGTCTCCGGAATGTCACATCCCCCACGAAAAAGAAGCAATTATTGTATCCCATATCACTGGTCCACCAGCAGCTTCCACCGAGGTTCTGGAGCAATTCCTTATTCAGTGTGAACACCCGATTACAGAAAACACGTTTCTCAAAACACAAGACATTTTCAGGCCTTAAGGAACTGCCCCTCAGTAACAAGGCAAAAACTAACTGTAGGAAGTCCAATGTCACATTAACATGCAAGCGGAATAGTCAAGACGGTTGGTGGCAATTAGGTATTTAGAAGGCAGCGAAATATCTGACATTATGTTACCATGCACAATCAAAACATAAGTACAGTGAGACAAAGTACGAAATCTCACAATCTTCTCAGCGAATGAAATTAAGGTGCGCATTGAAGTTCCCATTTCGCAAAACGACTTGTTGCAGTGACCACACATGAGTTCGCTGTTCTGAAACAGAAAACAGGATGCTGACATTCAGAAATATGGGAACGAAAAAACACTCTTGTGATCCAGTGATTAATGTGCCTGGCGGAATGTATACTATCATGTGCTTCGAACTCTCACAAGAGCAGTTACTTCACCGTGCCGTTGGCTGAAAGCGACGGCAATTTGGCCATGACATTTATGAGCGCTAAGTGTGGAAGCGCAGATGTCGAAGGGACTCGCAATTGGGAGCTTCAGAAGCTAACATTTGCGTGTGACACATAAGCACCATCTTCTATGTGAAGCTGTGTGGTAGCCTGATTGTGGTTAGTACACATTTGATTGGTTAGTTACCGCCATGCGTCTATATGTGATTGCGTCCAATGTAGACTTATCGAATGGTATTTACTGCCGCGATTGTACCGTTCGGTCGCTAATCCGAGTCACCATGAGTCTGAATGATCGTAGCAAGAGTAGGAATAAAAGTGTTACATCAGCTGCTCAGACAGCTATTCCTATTCCAAGTACCGCCAATGCGACTTCCGAAAATGAGAGCCAGTTCTTTCGGTTTTCGCAACTGGTGCGACCAGACGGCGAGTTCCGACAGAGGCGGCTCATCACAGTCACATGTGTCCAACCTGTGAGCGCTAAGCGGGGTTCGAACACACGCATCAGATAGGATCGTCAAAAGAGACAACAGTGCCGGGGAAGGCTGTGGATGACTGGCACCTTCGTAGCAAAAAACGTTTGCACCACGTCTGGACACAGTTAGACCCATCATTCCAAGACGGAAGTAGAACCAAAGTGACAAATATCTGTTTGATGTTGATTTGAAAAGCTTACCTGGACACTGTCTGCTGCATCAGGCCATCATCATCATCAACAGCAATTTCAATTGGTGATTTGCTGCCACACAACCATAACGACCTAGGGAGCCAAGAATAATAATAGGGAAAGAAGGTGGACTTACCGGAAAACCTTAATGCCCTAAGCAGACATACAAGGTCAAGGCGACTAGGCCTTGCCAACAACATGCCGTCAAAAAATCTGACCACTGTCCAAAGATAAGGCGGAATCAGTGAGATAGCTTCCTTGCTGCTTTCACTGCCCCGTCATAATCAGTAAGTACTCCGCATAAAACTCAGCAACAAACACACTTTAAACATGCGGTCCGACTAGGAGACGGCAGCACACGCGGCTCTAGTGTCGACTGCGAGCCATATTCTGAAAGTCTCAAACCAAGCACAATGCGATTCACGCAGGCTCCAGCGTGAAGGCCGAAACGGGCCGATAACACCCTGTTTCTTTATCAATGAACACATTTCTCGCTAACAAGTCAACTTTTGTCCACCTCGAGCTTTGTGCCATTCTACATCTGGCAGGCAAAGCAAGGCCCTCCTCGATAAGCGGTCACTAGGCATACGTATAAGGTGTCCAATCCAACGCAATTTATTCCATGGTTTTTGTTGTTCAAATGAATTAGCATGGATATCACTGCATAGTATTGGCCTACGCACATCATCGTTGCAGACACGATGGTGCCACCGAAAACAGCAAATGCTATGAAGACAACAATTATCAAAATCTTGAAGACGCCTTAGATAGAGGGAGTCAAGTTTTACTACCATATAGTGGGACAATCCTCACTGCGGCCTTGCAGACTGAGGGAAACCCCCCATCTGACGCCACAAACACAAGAAGGCAGTTCCGGCTTTTGCAGTATAAAACTGAAGCGATCGCAGACTATGCTGAACCTCGTTCTTCTAAAAAAGTGCGTTTTAACAGTCTCGTTAACCGCTTTATTCTTCGCTGTGCAACCCCTCACGTACCTTCACCGACGTGAGCTCGGAAAAGCAGAACATCCTGCTACCAAACCAACCACACAATCCACAGGTATAGACTTCGGTCAAAACAAGATATTCGACATAGGTAATTTTTCCTATGGAAGGACTACTTGTAGTGACCTGGAGATTCCCCCGTATGACTGTGTAAACTATTCTAAAATATATTAAAATTATAGCTTTCTTATGTATTAGGGAAGTAGGCGATTTGCCTGTTGGAACACTGTTCCCGTTTGTTTGAAACACGAATACGATATCCGCCTTTGACGCGCGACTGCACCGCGAACGACGCTCTGTCCACGCACTCGACGCCCAACTACATCCTCCCTAGCTAGCTCTCTTCTGGTGCCCTATTTTTAGCATTAGCTAGCTCTCCTCCCGTTCAATAAACATTTTCCCTAGCTTTCTTTTGTGTGTTCTACCCATTGCCTTTGGTTGGCCGTCTAGTCTCGTGCCGGATATATAGCGCACGATCATCGCGCTATATACTTGGTGACTTGAAAGATACTCGTTCTGTTGTGTGCACGTTTATTATAGTTCCATTGTGCTTAACTTATTCGTGTTTTAGGGCAGCCATAGTTCAACATTTGGTTTATTTCCGCCCGTGGCTTGGCTTCACCATCATATGCTATCCTGATATTTGACCTGCCAGCTTGCACCGTACGTCTTAGCAAATCATTGCCGAGTACAGCACGTCGTACCTGCCCTAATTTGCCTTTGGACATCGCCATTCAATGAGATGCTCTGTTCAGAACCAGCAATAAAAGTCTAAAGGTCTAAGAAGCACGAGCATACTTAATTGAAAAGGTTCTCCAACATCATAAAAATTAGCACGGAATGACAAACCTGCAGTGAGACTCTACTTCGTCGATTGTAGATCATTCTGTCAACCTTACTGCCACTATCCATAGCTGTGACATCATGCCAATTATACAGTAATCTGATAAGTGTTAAGTCACGTGCGCACATGCGTGCGTATACTTTCGATTAATACCTTGTTTCGAAGTAGAAGACCCAGGTGAATCGCCAACCGAAGAGATGCAACGTGTGTCCATTGAGCTCTTGATTTCGTTTGGCTCAGTTTTGAAAGACAGATCAGCAGCACATCTAACTCTGGGATCCAGTGGCTCCCTTTCATGACGATCCGGAAAGAGAACAATTTGTTCCGCGTTTGGAGACGTTGTTAACGATGGCGCATCCGTACGCTCTGGCTTCGGTCTCAGAATGCAGAGACCCAAAGGTTGTTCCGGCTTTATGCTCTGTCGAAAGTCGTCCTGACAAACAAAAACCCATATTACAGGAGAAATGAAAGTACTCATAAACAACGATCATACAATTCAAAAACAAAACACCTAAATCAGCAAAGTGTAAATTGAAGAAGCAATTTTACGTTGGAACTGGAAGTAGCTTCATAAATCATTATCGAAACACCTGAAATGAAGGACAACGAAACACTTCAGCTGTGTCGCAATACAAAAAAGATGATGAAAATGGAGATAGAATAGGTTGCAGAATACAACAAAAAATCAAAAACAAAGTGCGATGCCTAGTGTCACATTAACCACAGTATGAGAACGTAGTTAGAGAGAGAAGATAAACAGGCGCAGGCGATTCCTGCGACGTGCATTATTTGCGTGTCGGTGCGGAGGGAAGAAGTGGACGGGTGGCCATGCGAAGTTTTGATCAAGAAGAATGAAGGCCTTTACTTCGTGGTTGGCGTCGGTTGGAACCCCTCAGCTCCCCGGTTGGGGACCGAAGGACAATGAACACGTTTGACTGAATGCACTTGTTCACTTGGCTAGGAGTCGACCTCAGTGGCGTGTCTTGTGAGTTTCTTTGTCCATCCTCTGCTGCTTGGTTTCCCTCTCTAACCACGAGCTCAATTTGTAGGCAGAATATGATTTTTGCGGCTCAATCGTCGGCTGTTAGCCGGTGGCCGAGTGGTCTGCGCGTTTGGTTTGCAACCATAAGGTCACCGTTTCGAATCCGCGTAGGGGTGGGCGTTCTCGCGGTATACTCATCCCGCGCGCGATGTGTGGTAGTCGCGCGATAGCGAAGCGCCGTTACGGCGTACAGCTGACACATTATTATTATTTTATTATTCTCCGTAACGATCTCCATCTTTTACCGGTGACTCAGCCGGCGTGCCTGTCTCATGTTTTTTCTTTTTTTGTATTACGACACAATAACAGGCGTTTTCTACTTGTAACTCTCGTATGTAATAAAAATGTGTTGTGAGTTTCTTTGTGCTTTTCCGGCGCCATAAACAAGGCGTCGAATACGCTCATTCCTCACGCGGTGTTCCCACCAGATATGAGCCAAACTGCGAAGGCACCGGTGGTCGAACGTAACTAGTCTGAGCTAATGATCAAGGTTTCACAAGCGTACAATAGAGTTGAACGTACGGCTTCATTGCACACTCTACCCTTCAGGAAGAGAGTAATGTCGCGACATAGTCGTAGGTAGCGGCTATTAAGTCTTTCATGCTTTTACTATAAGGTTTGTGACCTCGTCTTGGACTCCAGCGGTGCTGATACAAATACCTAGGCAATTGAATTTTTGAACTACTTCTAGCCGATCCTCATCAAGGGTCAGCTCAGAAGGTGCACCCTGACAATCTTAGAGGGAAGCTTTGCATTTGGAGGGTGCAAAGTTTACCACGAAACGGCTAACAGCTAAAGCAAATCTGTCCAGAGCCGCTTGTCACTTTCGTGAGCTGTCGCAGATGTGGACAATATCGTCAGCATACTCCAAATCAAAAGTCGTTCACTTGCGAGCAATTCCACACCTTCTAAGTCGTATCCTACGCACATGATCTCCACGACTTCGTCGATAACGAAGTTGAGGAGGAAAGGTGACAGCGGGCATCCTTGTTTCACGCCGCTGGAGATATGGAACGGCGGCGACTGCCTGACCTAAGCGCTCACTCCGTCCGAGCTGCGCACGTAAAGCGCTCGCATAATAGTTACATAATTCCCGGGCACAACTTTCCTTAGAAGACAGTCCCACAGAGCACATGGATCCACTGAATCGAACACAAAAACGGTGGGCCGCCAGTACATGTGACGGTGCTCCAACAAATGACGCAAAGTGAAGATGTGGTCGATGCATCCTCTGCCTCGAGGGAACCCGGCTTGCTCCTCACGAATCTGGTTTTGACGAGCGCCAGTCAGTCTGTGAAGGATTACATAGTCAAGTGATTTGGAGGCGATGGGGATCAGACGGATTCTTCTATGGTTGTCGCATTCCGAACGCGAGCCTGCTTTGAAGATCGGGACAATGACGGAGCGGCTCTAGTCGGTTGGGACGGTTTCCTGCTCTCACGGTTTCACTAGTAACTCGTGTAGATCATCAACAAGAGCAGGGTTCCTGAATTTGAAGAGGCCTGGTGGAAAATCATCTGACTCCGCGGCTGAATTCAACTTCTACAGTCCGATCTCACGTTCGACTTCTGAACGAGATGGCGGATGCAAAAGGAGTGCCCATGGAGTACCGCGATCACTGGCTGGTGAGGATTTTAACAATTCCGATCGATTGAATTGCTTTGCAAAATACTCAGTCCAACGCACCAAGTGTTTTGACAAGTTGTGGATAGGCTGTGTACTCTTGTCACGTATGATTTCACAAACACCAAGTCCCCTGCTGCTCGTTTTCTGTATCAGACGGAATACCTTGCGATGTTTACTAAGGTCAGCGGCCACTTCAATCTCTGACGCACGATGAGACCACCAGGAGTCGCACTCTACCTTCAGGCTAACATGTAATTTTGCCCTGAAGTTTTTGCGAGTCTCATTGTGTTCGCTTCCAGCTGGAATGTGCCTGCAAGCATGGGTATGTACCAGAAACCGCGAAGAGACCCAATGTCCACGTTGTCTACTAGGCTCACCACATGAGGACTTGGCTGCTGGTGAACATGTGACCAGCGACCAACTGTACTCAGTGAGCCAGCGTATTTCGATAATCACACAATACACCTGGTTTCGCCAGCTGAGTGGTGTCTATGCGCCCACAGTGTCGTCCCGTGCGTCCGCCAAAACGCACCCGTAGATCAGCACATACAGGTGCATGGTCAGTTTTCCCTCATGCGCTGGAAATCCAGAGACAGTTTCGGACGCAGCCTCTCCAGTGATAACTGATCGCGACGTGGCCGATCTGCGTTCATGACTGGTTCATGGCTCATGGGCACCATGTCACCTTCCGAAGTGTCTGTCGGAAGTTACTGCTTGTAAGAAATAAGCGAGCATCTGCCCACAAATGAAGGAACCGCTCACCGTTATCCTTACGGGAGCCTACACAGTGGTGGCCGCCCAGATGCAGCTCATCAGTGGACAATTCCCCAATGTAAGCGTTCAGAACCCCAGTCTGCACTACACTGTCCGTGCTTCTTCTGTGCTGGAGGAGCACGTTCAGCTGGCGATAGACGCCGTCTTTTGCCGAATCATCGGGTATGCAGCGATGACAAACAGACACCTATTAATAACGCGCGAGTCATCTAGTCGGATCGCACACATCAGAATACTGAATGGGATCCAATCAAGCAAAGCAGCTTCAGCACGGGGACTCAGCCCAATACCAACGCTGGCTTGACCTGTATTTGAAGCTGCATCCTCACTGGATAGGCGCAGTGAGATCGCAGTGAGAAGAGGGCAAGGGCATTGTAGGCGTATTTCCGACAAGCAGCAGATATCCATTGAGATGGTCTCTACTGTTCGGGAAAATGCCGCCTGTTGGTCGATCTGTATTAATGTGCGCACGTTGAGGCATTCCAATCTAAGCGAGGATCGGGGCAAAAATAGGTGCCGATGAACTGGGCTTGTCGGCTTGGTTAAACATGGGCTTGTCGACGGAGCAAGAGAGACGCTACGCATGTGAGTTGAAACTAGAAGACAACCACTTACCAAAGCAAGGTGGGTAGGACCAAGAATTAGGGATTGAAAACCGTGGGTGATTAAAGTGAAACTGTAACTGGACGATGAGGGAGAAAAAGTGTTAGAAGAAGGATAAGAAGACGGGAAGGCTTGAGCCATAGCATCCAAACCCCTATCCATTTTGCTCGATGCAGCAGATAGGGCGCCGCTGATTATTCTCTGTGGCGACCAGAGCATCAGCAAATTGTTTGAGGTATTACATGGGCAGGATACTGTCAGGCTGCATAGGGCTAGGCAGCAGAACGATTAGGGTTCTCGAGTAAAGCTTTCGGTTCAAAAACGTGACCGCAGCGGTTTTGGCAATGGACTACAGGGTGTCCGTTTTACTAATTAAGGAGCCCCCCTCACTCTAATCCCCAACCTGGAGGACCAGGGGGCTGTGTTTGTCAGATCTCTAACCATTGACGAATCTGAAATGAGTGGTTCTGAAGATGCAAAGAATTACCACCCAATATAGCTCAATGGATCGTTGAAGCACGCAAACCATCGCACTACGGTAAGATCCCACCTCACAACACAATACTAAACGACGCCAATTTCGAAGGGAGGATTTGCATACCTATTGTCCAAGTCATCGCTTCGCCTCCTCTCCTTCAGTTCCTTCCATACCCTAGTCGCGCAAATGCACTCGAGGGAGTCGGTGGTCTGGCATGCGCAACGTGGCCCAGCCATTGGAGAATGGTGTGCGACATAACAGTGCTGGGCGGTTCACTCGCTCAACCTACACCAAATACACGAGACCGAACACATACATTGCTCACGCGGTGTTCCCACAATACATGAGCTAAACTGTGAAAGCAGCGATGGTCGAAAGTAATAAGCCTTTTTACCTCTGTCGAATTGATGGGCAAGAATTCGCAACCATACAACAGGGCTGAAAGGGCGGATGCATTGTAGACTCTGCTCTTCAGAGCAAGAATAAGGTAACGTCGGTGCCACAAGCGGTGGAGATTAGCAAAGACGAAACGAAATTTTCCCAAACGGCTGGCGATCTCAGGTTCGATCCCACGGAGGCTCAAATAGCTGCCGAAGAAGTTACATTTCTGCACGACTTCTACTTGGTCACCAACAAGGGTTAGTGCATGAGTGGGTCCCTGTATCTTCGTTTCGAGGGTGCAAAGCATGGGATGAAACGACTGACAACCAGAGCTAATTTATCCGGCGCCGCTTGGCACGTTTTGGAACTGTCACGGATAAGGGTAATGTCATCTACATCAATGGATTACTGGAATGTAGAGAACAGAAGGAAAAATGCTTTGTCAGCTCCATCGCCTCCCGTTCGTCCCAGGGAACAAGGTGGACATTGCAAGTCGGTACGAATGGAACCGCTGCATTGAGACAAAA